TAGAGGTATGTGGGGTTCCTCGGTGGCGTATTCGAAAGATTTTGGCATTCGTTTCTTTTCGGCTTTCCGACGACCCAAGACGGCCCAATGAGGCCCCCAAGATCGCCCCCGCAGCGCCCAGGAGGCCTCCGAGATGGCCTTAGGACTGCCCAAGAGGCCCCAAAAACGGCCCCGGGAGGGCACGAAGACGACCCGAGAGGCCTCCAAGACGCCCAAGATGGCCTCTAAGACGGCCCTGGAGCGCCTCCAATAAGGCCTCCAGAAGACCGAAGGAAAAACAAACGCATTCGTTGCACCTAGGTCTTTCGAAGGTTGTTGACATCTGCTTCGCCTCGGCCTTCCCAGCGCGGCCCAAGAGCACCCGAATATCGCCCGAAGATCGCCCAAGAGGCCTCCAAGATGGCCCCATAACGGCCCAAGAGTTGAGCGCGTGTTTCGGGGGAAACTCTGTTTATGTGTTCGGGCTCAAAACTCTCATGAAGGTCTAACTCATGTCTGCGCTGGAACTCTGATTCAAGTCTGGCCCTCAGCGCCAACTCCGATATCGGTCTGACTGGAACTCTGATTTAATTCTGGCCCTAAGGCTCAAGTCTGATTTCGGTACGGCTGTGAGCTCTAAAAGTAAGTATGATTATGGTTTGGTTTAGGCCCGCCGAACCAATGTCGCGGCGTTGGCCCAGAACGCTGCCAGGTCGGCCCCGCGCGCATGCGTCTTCAAAAACGACAGAAGGAATGCGTAAGCCAAGCGGCAGGTCATGGCTGCACGAAACTGCTCAACGGCAGCTGAGGCGAAAAAGGCTCACCCGAGGCTCGCTCCTTGGGGCTGCCGGCTGCCGCGCCGCGACAAGATGCGCATCGCGGCGACCGCCCCAATCCCCGCCGCCCGCCCAGGACAGGTCGGGGGCAGGACGCGCAGAGGAGAAGCGCTGCATTTTTCGCGTGGCTCGGTGGCGCGGGAGGCGCCCTGGGAAGTGTCCAGAACGAAGGCGGGGACAAGGGGCAAGGCCAGGAACAATCGCGAGAACGAAAGCGGAGGCGAGGGCAAAAACTAAGGTGGGAACGGGGGCGGGGGCGATGGGCGAGAACGAGGGCGCGAACGAAGGCGAGAATGAGGGCGGGAACGAGGGCGGGAATGAGGGCAAGAACGAGGGCGGGAACGAAGGCGGGGACGACGGCGGGAACGAGGGCGACAACGAGGGAGATAAAGAGGGCGGGAACGAGGGCGGGGGCGGGGGCGACAGCGAGGGCGAGAACGAAGGCGAGAACGAGGGCTGGAACGAAGGCGGGAACGAAGGCGGGAACGAGGGCGAGAACGAGGGCGAGAACGAGGGCGAGAACGAGGGCGAGAACGAGGGCGGGAGCGAGGGTGGGAACGAGGGGAGGAGCGAGGGCGGGAATGAGGGCGGGGGGCCGCCTCGGGGCGCCTCTGGGATTCCTCCGGGCGCCTTGGGAATTCCCCAAGCGCCTCCGAAGAACCTCCGGGGAACTTCCAGCGAACCTCCGGGAACCTCCGGGAGGTCTGTTCGAAGTCTGCTTGAAGTCTGCTTGAAGTATGTTTGAAGTCTGTTTGACGTCTGTTTAAAGTCTGTTTGAGGTATGTTTCAAATCGTTTTTGGGCCAAACTCTGATGAAGGTCTGTTTAAGGTCCGTTTGACGTATGTTTGAGGTGTGGCCGAAACTCTGTTTCAAGTCTGAGTTCCCTGGGCCGCCCCTGGGTTCCCAGGGCGGCTTCCGGGCGGCCCCGGAACGAGGGCGAAAACGTCGGCGAGGATGAGGGAAGGAACGAGGGCGGGAAAAATGTCGACAACGGGGGCGGGAACGAAGGCGGGAACGAAGGCTGGAACGAGTGCGAGAACCACGGCGAGAACGAGGGCAGGAACGATGGCGGGAATGAGGGCGAGAACGAGGGCGGGAACGAGGGCGGGAACGAGGGCGGGAACGAAGGCGAGAACGAGGGCGGGAGCGATGGCGGGAACGAGGGCGGGAGCGACGGCGGGGGCGAAGGCGAAAACGAACGCGGGAACGAAGGAGCGAGGGGGGGAACGAGGGCGGGAACGACGGTGAGAGCAAGGACGGGATCGAAGGCGAAGGCGAGAAAGAGGGCTGAAGTGAAAATGACATCGGGCGGGGGCGAGGGCGGGCGAGGGGGCGAGGGCGGAGACGAGGCCAGGCGCGGGGCCTGGAGCGAGGGCGGAAACGAGGGCCAACACTGAGGCCGAGGAGCGAAGACTGACGCTCGATACGGAGGAGGGGGAAGGGGGGGGATGAGGAGGACGAGGAGGAGGAACAAGGGACGAAGGGAGGAATGGGAGCCGAGGGCAGGGGAGGGACAGCACGCGGAGGGCGACGGCGACCTGGGAAGGAGGAAACGGGATTAGTGAGGCCAAGGGGGGAGGAAGAGGAGGAGGGAAGGTGGAGGATAAGGGCGGGAATAAGGGGAGGAGGAAGGAGACAAACTGAGGAGGGGAGGGGAGCGGGGGGGAAAGGGACGCGAACGGGTGAGGAGGGAAAGGGAGGGAGAGAGAAGCGGAGGAAGGAGGGAGGGGATAGACGAGGGAGGAACGAGAGCGAGGGGAGGAGGGAGGATGGGCAAGGAAAGAGGACAAGCGCACTTGCGCAGCGCGCCCCGTGCCCTCCGCCCGGGACTGTCAGAACTCTGATGGTACTCTGATTCAGCTCTGTTTTGGCTCTGGCCTGAAACTCTTCTCTGGTTTGGCTGGAACTCTGATTTGGCTCTGGCCTGAAGCCCTGATTCATCTATCTGGTTTAGCTGAAACTCTGATTTAGCTCTGGTCTGGAGCTCTGAATTAACTCTGATTTAGCTCTGGCTGGGGACAAAGCCGAATCAGGATCAAATCAGAGATGAAATCAGAGCGTCAAAAAATCAGAGATGAAACAGAGTTCCGGGCCAGAGTTGAATCAGAGTTGAATCAGCGAATTATTAGAGGTTTGAAGTTTAACATTTGAAGCTAGTTTGCATCCAAAACACACACTCAACCCAAGAGGCTCCCAAGACGGCCCCAAGAGGCTCCCAAGACGGCCCAGGAAGCTTTTAAGACGCCCAAGATGGCCTCCAAGACGGCCCTGGAGCATTCCAAGAAGGCCCCAAGTCGGCTCAGAGAGGCCACCCAAACGGCTTCCGACGGCGTCGGACGGGCCAGGGGCCCACCAAGACGGCCGAAGATGACACTAAGATGGCCCAAGACGGCCCAAGAGGCCTCCAAGAGGGCCTCCAAAAAGGCCCGAAAAGACCAAAATCATTGATTTCCCATGAGTGTTTCAAGGATTGTGGCATTCGCTTTTTTCTGCCCTCCGACGGCCCGAGACGGCCCAAGTGCCCTCAAAGATCGCCCAAGAGACACAAGACGGCCCCAAGAGGAAGAGGCCTCCAAGACGCTCAAAATGGCCTCCAAGACGGCCCAAGAGCCCTCCAAGACGTCCTCCAAGAAGGCCCGAAAGAGTCTAAATGGCCTCCGGGCGGCCAACATGACCTTCAAGATGCCCACGTGTTCCCCGAGAGCTTTCCACACCGATTCGGGGAACACATGGTCCGATAGCTTGGCAGGTATGGCCTCAACGTTCGGCCACATAGGCGCTTCCAAAAAGGCAGGGGGCGGCGGTGATTCGCCGTAGGCGTCTTCGATATACCTGAACATATGATAATATATAATTACATATCGGAGGTCGGGGGGTGAAATCGCAGTGGAACGGAGACCCCCAACCGGGAAATCGTTTCGTTTCGTTCGTGGCGTGCGTGCGGGCGAGGCGAAGCTGCGTGGGCGCGCGAAAGGAATGAACCCAATGATTCTCCCCCTCCCGTCCGTCCGGCGGTGGCCCTCGGTGTCCCGTGGTGTCCTGTGCTGTCCGCCGTTGCTAGGGCGAAGTCAAGACAAATGATTCTCCCCCGCCCGCCCGTCTGGCGGTGGCTCGCGGTGTCCCGCGGTGTCCCGTGGTGTCCCGCGGTGTCCCATAGTGTCCAGTTGAGTGAGATCGATAGTGAGATCGATAGTGAGATCGATGTGGTGCCCCGAGGTGTCCCGTGGTGTCCCATGGTGTCCCAAAAAGTGAGATCGATAATGAGATCGACAGGTGTCCCGTGGTGCCCCAGAAAGTGAGATCGATAATGAGATCGATAGTGAGATCGATAGTGAGATCGATAATGAGATCGATGTGGTGCCCCGAAGTGTCCCGTGGTGTCCCGTGGTGTCCCAGAAAGTGAGATCGATAGTGAGATCGATAGTGCGATCGACAAGTGTCCCGTGATGTCCCGTGGTGTCCCGTGGTGTCCCGTTGAGTGAGATCGATAGTGAGACCGATAGTGAGATCGATGTGGTGTACCGAGGTGTCCCGTGGTGTCCCGTTGAGTGAGATCGATAGTGAGATCGATGGTGAGACCGATAGTGAGATCGAGATGTGTCCCGCGGTGTCCCGTGGTGTCCCGAGGTGTCCCGTGGTGTCCCGTGGTGTCCCGTTGAGTGAGATCGAGAGTGAGATCGATTGAGTCAGATGTTGGTTCCCCCCCTCCCCCCCCCACAACCTCCTTATCACCCGAAGGGTGGTCGTATAGGTACACTATGAATCCCCTATATCCTGCCCAGGTCCTTGCTCCGAGCATGGGGCCTCGTCCCCCAGGATAGCGCTATATTTGCGACAACTACTGCTACCACTACTGCGAGCACTTCTCTGTTTCTGCTGCTCACACTGTCAACTGTTGCTGCTGACACAACTGCTGCCACTTTGTCAATTTCTGTCGCTATCACTTCCAAATCAGGAGGGTGGAGAAGCCGATAGTGAGAGCACCATTCCCAGTCAGGAGCTTCCCCAGAGGCGCGGCATCGCCTGGCGCCCAGAAGATCTTGGGGACATCTAAGACACCTCAAATGAAAGCATTGTTTGGACAAACCTCGAGGCCAAAGTGGACACGGTCCTTCACCACAAGGGAGGTAAACAAAGAGACATGGATGTGAAGGCATCCCCCCCACACCCTATCCGTGACGGACCGGGTCTGGCTCTCTCGCATCCATGACCAAGAGTTCGAAGAGCCGCTGACTCGGGGCAACCAGCACCGTCCCAGCGTTGAAGTAGCACGACCTGAGGAAACCAGTTCCTCCCTGCCTGCTTCAGCTCCCATCACCGCCAACGCCTCCCCACCTTCCCCATCCCCTCCCGCACCACGTCCCCAGTTCCCATCCGCTCCCCGTCATCTCTCCCTTCCCTCCCCGTCCCCCCCCCCTCCGCTCCCCCGACCTGCTTCCCTCCCCATCCCCTTGCTCCCTCCCCTCCCTCCCGCGCCATTGGCCTGGGCCTCCTGGAGCTACGCCCACAGGACACACCAAGGCGGCCACAAAACCTCCCCTGATGGCACGGCGACCCCCCAGGGTGGTCCGACGACCCCTGACGGGACTGTAACACGCCCCCAGGAAACCCAAACGAGGCCCCCGAAGAGCCCCATCATGCTCCACCGCCCCCCCCGCTCCTGAGGCTTGGACCGGACGAAGGGGCGGGATGGCAAAATGACTGTAGCGAATCAGCTCACGCAGCTGGTCTCTGGAGCGCCTACCTGCGCTGGAGGCCAAAAAGAAACCCGAACTAACCTGGCGGAGGGCCCAACCATATGCAGCTGTGAGTACCGCATCCATGAGTATCGTCTTCAATAGAGCTCCCTATGGGGCCACGGAACGATGTACTGGGTCGGGGAACCGCATGCGGACACCGCCACTGGGGCCTTCGATGGAGCCCCTTCTATGAGGCCACGAAACGATGTACTGGGGAAGGGAACCGCATGCGCGCACTTCCACTGGGGCCTTCGGTGGAGCTCCCTGTGGGGCCACGAAGCGCTGTACCGGGTGGGGGAACCGCATGCGAACACCGCCACTGGGGCCTTCCGTGGACCTCCCAATGGGGCCACGAAACGCTGTACTAGGTGGGTGAACCGCATGCGGACACTGCCACTGGGGCCTTCGGTGGAGCTCCCTATGAGGCCCCGAAACGCTGCACCGGGTGGGGGAACCGCGAGAATAAGACCGATCGCAACCGCTTCGGACCGTTCAGGGACCACTTCGGACCGCATCCACTGGAAACGGACTAATCGCAACGTGTAGGATTTCTCTTGCAATCCTGCAGGGCAAACGCTGGATTGCAACTAGGAGAGTTTGCTCCAGCTTCCCTGGATTTGAAGGATTCGAAAAAAGGATTCCAGAAGAATGGTTGAGGATTCCTAAAAAGGATTCTTGGAGGATTCCTGCAGGATTTCTATGGAAAGATCCCTGAGGAATTACTGAAAGATTCCTGAAGGATCCCTGCAGAATTGCTGAAGGATTCCTGGAGCATTTCTGCAGGATTCTTGAACAATTCTGGAAGGATTCTCCGAGGATCCGTGCAAGATTCCGGAAGGATTCTTGCAGGATTCCTGAAGGACGCCTGAAGGATTCCTGCAGGATTCCCGAACGATTATTGAAGGATTCTTGTGAAGGATTCCTGCAAGAGTCCTGAAGCATTCCTGAAGGATGCCCGCGGGTTCTTGAAGATTCTTGAGCATGCTTGAGGATGCTTAAAGATTTCGGGGCATTTCTCAAGATTCCTGGGCAGTCTCTAGAATTCTTGAGGACTGTTGAAGCCTCTTGAGGATTCTGATGGATTCCTGAGGAGTCTGAAGCATTATTGGGGATTGTTTAAGATTCTTGAAAATTCTTGAACGATTGTTAACATGCCTCATCCTGGCAGATCCGGTCCCCCCCGCGATTTTCACAAATTTACTTTACATGTCCCCGTGTCCGTTTCCCTCGTTTCCGCTGCCCCCTGGAAGGCAATTCAGAAGCCCCTGAAGCCTTCTGGGGTTTTTGTGGGCCTCTGGGGGGCCGTCTTGGGGCCTTCTCGGGGCCTCTGCGGAAACCGTTGGCTACACATGTGCGTTCGTTTTTTTTGGAAGGAGAAGATGGGAGCGGGCCGCATGATTCAATAACCACCGTCGTAACGCGAATGCCGGTTGCACTTGAAAGCCGTTCTCTTCCTCACCAAGCGTGTGGAAACGGACGCGCACACAGCGCCGAGAGAGAGGAGGAGGAGGAGGAGAGGAGGAAGGAGGAAGAAGAGGGGAGCCCTGGCAGGTTGGTTCCGTGGCATTCGGAAGTGGGCGCAAACTGATTTAACAGTTTTTAACGCCGGATTGGGCGGAAACTGCTTTAACAGTTTTAACGCCGGCTGCGCCGAAACAGAAGAACGGGGCGTGCCATGTGCCTGTACCCCCCAAGGCCTAGACAGCCATTGGCACTTCCCATATCATGCACACTAGGGCGAGGCGGAGGGGAGAGGAGGAGAGGGAGAGGAGGAGAGCGGAGAGGGAGGGCAGATACGAAATGTCCCAGGTTCGTATCATCGAGCACGTACATCACATGGAAAACTCACGAAACGGTGGTGCACAACTGAAGCCTAAGGTCCCCAGACCGGGACCATGAACGACCACGAATCCTACGGAACAGAGGGCGAGGCTGAACAAGTGCACGCACAGCGCACTGAAGCATATTACGATTCATTCGTCCAGAAAGGGGGAGGAAGGGAGGGAGGAAGAGGGAGAGGAAAGAGGGGGAGGGCAGTTCCGACCCCGCTAGGGGACGGACAAAGGACCCTCAGCAAAGCCTCGGACCCACCCGCAAAAAGAGGGCGTGGAAGAGGGGGAGGGCAGAGAGGAGGGAGGAAGGGGGAGGGGGAAGAGAGCTGATCGCAACCCTTCTGGTTGTCCGGCGGATGCCGGGAGCTATCGAGGATACCACGCGTGCGAAGCCACCGGCACTAGAGAGAGGAAAAACTGCACTGGCCCCGGGCTCGGGGGGAGCATACACAAGGACAGAATAGGCGATGATTTGGGGGAGCACACCACAAGAGCAGGGAGGGGAGGCGGGGAGGCGGGTGGAGAGAGAGGCCTTGCCACGACCGCCCTCAGACGTTGGAGTAGTGGATGCTGTGCGCGTCGTTGCTGCCCTAACGGGCCCGGTTGGCGAAGTGCTCGGTCAGGGGGGCGCGGAAGGCCGCGCCGTCTGCCAGTGCCTGCGGCCAAGCGCCCGTGGCGGAGGCTTGCCCGTGCCGTGCTGCGTTGGTGGCCCTGAAGGTCGCGCACAGACCGAGAGCGCGGAGGGCAAACGTGCGTGGCGACGCCTCGGCCAGCAATAGGAACTCGTCCAGCCGCGATGCCGGGGGGCCCTGCCGGAGGCACAACTGTGTGCGGTAGAGCCGCGCCACGACGGGGCAGTAGGCGTAGTGTCGGAGGTCGTCATGCCCATGCTGACAGCCGAAGAGGCATGGCGACGCTGGCTTGGTTGTCCAACCATCCAAGAGCGCTTTGAGCACAGCAGCCCAAACGCAGGGCGGCACCATTGGCCCAAGGCGGCAAAGTGTAGCTTCGAAGCGCTGCACCCGGCGCCCTGGCAGAGTGGGCAAGGGCAGCCGGTCCAGCCTGCGGCGCAGGTGCCGGAAGAGACCCACTGTGTCACGAGCGCCGAGTATTTCTCCACATCGGCGCTGCCATCGCTGCTTCGGTGTGGGGGTGGTGGCAGAACCCAGCAGCAGCAAGTCCACGGAGAGCCCCTGGGTCGTCGCAACCGTTTCGAGCCGGTGCTGCGCCTCGAGGACCGTGCTGATGAAGTTGCCGTCGAACCAATGGGCCCAGGTGGCGAGGCGCTGCAAGTGGTCCGATGAGGAGCGGGCACGCTGCAGACGCCGAGCACGACGGGTAAGTCGCAGGCCGCCATGCGCGATGTCTTCCCAGCGAAATACACGACATTTGGCTCCCTGCGCCATGGCCTCCACACTGGGGAGCTCAGAAGCGAATCCCAAACTCCGGAGGTGCTGGAGAAGACATGGGGTGGCCCAGCCCCGGGCTCCAGGGAAGAGAGTCGTGAGGAGCCGTTGCTCTGTTCGCGGCCACTGGTCCAGCTGCGCTGCAAAGCCCGCGAGAGGCAGGATGTACATTCGGTACGCTGCCAGCGTCACGAGCAAGCCCCCGCCGATCTTGTTCCACGTCCACGCGCGGTCCCGCATCTTCTTGAACACCTCATCCCAGAGGCGGGCCCAACGGGTGGGGCCCAGCCAATAGCCAAGGTACTTGGCGTGGCTCGAGATGGTGAAGGCGCCCCACCAGGTCGCCGCTGCGGCGACAGCAGCACGTTCATGCTCGCGCGCGTGCAGGGAGAGCGGCACAATGGTGGATTTGCCAGTGTAGACGAAGGCCAGAGACAAGCCCGTATTCGTAGAAGATCGGCTCTAGCAGTTCGCAGTCTGCGGGGCCCCGGTGGAGGACAAGGGCAATGTCGTCCGCGCACGCGCGAAGGACCACGTCTGGGCAGAGGCGGCGAATCCGTCGCAACACCACGTCCGAGATGATGGCGAACAGCAGGGGAGATAAAGGGCAGCCCTGTCGAACCCCCGCGGTAATGCCAAAGCCGGCGTCTGTAAACCCACAGAGGGAGAGCTGGCAAAAGTTGTTGGTGTAAAGAATTGCCACGAACCGCCGGAGCCATGCGGGCCATCTCCGCTCCGCCAGGACTCGCTGGAGGAAGGTCTGGTCGAGGCTCGGGAACGCCGCCTCGAAGTCCAGGAAGACCGCCAGGGGGAACTCCTCGAGGTACGCGTCTGCCAGCATCTCCTCCTCGATGTCGATGACGTTGGCCAGCATGGAACGCCCGCTCAGGAAGCCGCGCTGTTCCGGAGAAAGTCCGGCCTCGACCGGCGGCTCGACGTGCAGGCGCACTGCGCTGCAGAGGATGCGGTTGTCGGTAGTGGTAAGGTTAAGTGGCCGCGTGTTGCTTGCTGGGTAGACCGCGGTGCCATCTGCTCGCGTCGAAGTGGGCTTCTTCGGTGAGAATACCATGACACTCTCGTTGAAATCGCGCCACGCCTCCTGGACCATGTCGAGCCCTGTGGGGGCGATCATCGCCTCGAACGCTTCGTGGAAGGCGTCGGTGGCTAAGTCCACTATCTTACGCCACGCTTTGAAGGGGATGCCATCCCGGCCCGGTGCGGAGTTCCCCGACTTGCGAATCGCCTGCCGGAATGCACGACGCGGCACAGCGAGGTGGGGCAGGTGGTCGGTGTAGTCGGCTGGGAGGTGCTGCGCATCTTCTCGCAACCAAGTGTCCAGCAGGGACGTGTCCATGTCCTTCCGGCGGAAGACCTCGGACCAACGGCCGCGAAGAATGCCGAGCATCTCCTGGGGGTCCGTCGTCGCCTCCCCGGTAGGCGCGTCCAGCGCGAAGTGCTGACAGCTGCGGCCCGGCGCGAGCTTGCAGACCAGCTGCTGGTTCCGCCGCCGCCGGCGCGCTGCTTGGGCCGGCTCCAGCTCGCGGAGGTCCTCGTGCAGCTTGTTCAGCTCCTGCATGGTGAAATCCCGCTGCAACTCCATCACGTGACTACGCACCCGCGCAAGCCGAGGGCCCGGCGGGGACGTGAAGTCGCAAGGATTCGCGACCATATCCCGCAAGAGCGGATACCGCTCGAGGCATCGGGAAATACGTTCTGGACTGCAGGCCTCCGAAGCCCTGAGGAATTTCACGCACACGCCGATGCGGTCATCCAGCTGCTCCGCCGGGGGGGCGGAACCCACCTGGGAAGCCAGGGCCAGCTCCGCCTGGCGCATCGCCTGCTTCAGCAGCTGGAGCCGGGTCAGGGCGTGCGCGTCGGGGTTGTTGTGAAGGAGCTCCTGCCAAGCTAATGTGACCTGCCGGGGGAAATCTGGATGCTCGAGGGCCTGGTCCCCGAGGGGCGCCGGTCGGTCTGCGCGCGGCTGCGCGGGGCACTTCCGGAAGCTGAGTGGGCGGTGGCGGGACAATTCGGGGCACCATGCCAGGGCGGTGCAGGCGCAAGCCTTGTCGAGGTACTCGACGCCGTACTGGTTGCAGTACACGCGGTCCAGCCGCGCTCTGGTGTCTGGTGCCGCGCACGTGTGTTCCGGCTGGTAGAGCTCGTGGATGCCGTAGGGGACCTCTACCAAGGTGCGCCAGCTGGTGGCGTCGCGGTGGTCCCGATGGCCCGTGGCTGCGCCCGTGGAGATGCAGACGCGCTCTGGCGGGCGGAGTACGTGATTAAAGTCCCCCCCAAGAATGCTTAAAGCCTCCTCGCGGGGACGGAGGCGGCGGGCCAGCCGCAGCCCGCGGAAGTCCTCGGTGGCCAGCCGAGCGGCGGGCGCGGCAGCCGCGATCGGGGGCGCCGCTCCAGCGCGGCCGACCACCCCAGCCTCTCCACCCTGCCCGGCCGCGGGGGCGGGCGCCGCAGCTGCTGCAGCCGCGCCGCCTGCAGGCGCAAGGGGCCCAGGCGCAGCGGGGGGGGGCCACCCACCAGCAGCGCTCCGTCCCTCTTGAGCTGCTCCAGCCCCGCGTCCGAGGGCATGGCTCTGAACCGATAGACATGCCGAGCATCCACTCCCGCGGGCGTCGCGCCCTGCACTCCAGACCAGCGGACCTCCGCCGCGTCGTCACTCCTGGTCTCCTCGGCGCAGCGATCGCCGTCCGCCGTGAGTGCGGCGATAAGACCAGGCGCCGACTGGCTCACTCCTGTGACCAGACGCTCGTGGAACAGAGGAGCCCCAGGAAGATCGTATCTGATGAGAATGACATCACCTGGCCGCGCCACTTCTCAGACGGAGAAGCGCGACCTGCTGCCTTGCCCGATCCTAAACACCGCAATGTACGCAGGAACCGCATGCGAGTTCCACCACCGGGACCTTCGGTAAAATTCCCTATGGGGCCACGAAGCGCTGTGCTGGGCGCAAGACGTGCATGCGAGTTCCGCCACTGGCACCTTCGGTGGGGCTCCCGATGGGGCCACGAAGCGCCTTACTGTGCGCGAGGTCCGCATCCGAGTTCCGCCACTGGCACCTTCGGTGGAGCTCCCTATGGGGCCACGGAGCGCTGTACTGGGCGCAGGAACCGCATGCGATTCCCGCCACTGGAACCTTCGGTGAAGTTCCCTATGGGGCCACGAAGCGCCTTACTGTGCGCGAGGTCCGCATCCGAGTTCCGCCACTGGCACCTTCGGTGGAGCTCCCGATGGGGCAACGAAACACCGCACTGTGCGCAGGAACCGCATGCGATATCCACAACTGGGACCTTCTGTGGAGATCCCGATGGGGCCACGAAACGCTTTACTGGGCGCAGGAACCGCATGCGAGTTCAGCCACAGGGGCATTCGGTAGAGCTGCCGATGGGGGCACGAAGCGCTGTGCAGGGCGCTAGAGACGCATCGATGATGACGACGTTGATGTTGTTGATGTTTATGATGCTAATGTTGGTGCTGCTGGTGATGATAGTGGTGCTGCTGATGACAATGTTAAAGATGATGATGTTGATGATGATGGTGTAGATAACGATGGTGATGGGAGGGGGAGGGGGAAGGAAAACGAATAATAGCGCGGGGCGATGTCTTTTCTAAACGAGGACCCAACACCACAGGATGGTTGGGAACAAACTCTCCCAATAGCACAGCGCGCGTTCGTCTTATAAGCTTGCAAGAGCTTCGCGCATGAATGACACGCCGTTTTCAAGATGTGGCTATCGCCTTAGCACTGCGCGCATTCGTCTGGAAGGATTACAGGAGCTTCGCAAGTGGAGGGCGGTCGCTTCCAAATAGTAACTCTCGCCTGAGCACCGCGCACATTGTTCTTGAAACGCTGTCAAGAGCTTCGGATGATGGTTCTCGCCGCATCGCCGAGGGCATTTGTCTAAAGTTTGAAAGAATCGCGGATGGATGGCGGCTCCTGGTCTAAATGTGGCCTTCGCATTAGCGTAGCGCGCATTCACTTTAAAGCTTGCAATATTTTTAGGGATGGAGAGCTGAGCAGGTCGTGTCGTACTCAGGTTCTCGCTGCACGGATGGAAGGCGGTTCCGTTTGAAAAATGAAGATATCGCCTGAATGCCGCGCGCATTCGCCTGAAAACGTTGAAAGAAGTTCATGGATGGAGGGCGGGTCATTTTCGAATTCTGGTTTTCGCCTTCGCGCCGCGAACGCTCGTCTTGACAGTTTGCAGGACCTTCACTGAGTGGAGGACGGGTTCAACATGTAGTTACCGCCTTGCCACATTCGTCTTGAAAGTTCGCAACAGTTTCACGAATGAAGGGCGGTTCCTTTTCAAACGTGGCTCTCGCCTCAGCGCCGCGCGCGTCTGTTTGAAAGTGTACAAGAGTTCCGCTGATGGAGGGCGGCTCTTGTTAAAACTTTGGCTCTCGCCTTAACGCCGCGCAAGTTCGCCCTTACAGCTCACAACAATTTGAGTGATTCTCAAGGCTGACGTCCCCGGAATGGCGTTCTGGCACAAAATAGGACTGTCAGGGCACAGCAGTCACGTTGATTCGTGGTGTTGAAGTCCCACCAGGAATGGTGTTCTGGTACGATGCAGGATCGCCAGGACGCAACAGTGAAGTTTATGCGCGGCTCTGAAGTCCAAGGAGTTCGGCACAATTGAGGACTCTCAAACGGTTGTTTTCCAACGGGGCACGTCCAGCAATACATCTAAATCCTTGAAGGGACCTGGGAAGAGGTAACTTGAAGGAAGGCTGTTTTGCAACATCGTGGATCCGTCTTGTGTTACAATGATCCTCCTCCTCCTCCTCCTGCTCCTCCTCCTCCTCCTCCTCATCCTCCTCCTCCTCCGCCCGTCCCCAGGATGGTTGCGCGCACCACGGGGAGTCGCGGGGCTCTGTCACCTATGAGACCTCGGTGCCGAGTTGCGTTTCTGCCCTAGGTGTGCTTCCCGAATGGGCCTCGGGCTAGATCAAAACAGTCCCAAACAGTCCTCATCCTACTTTTCCTCTTCTTCTTCTTCCTCCTCCTCCTCCTCCTCCTCGTCCTCCTCCTCCGTGCGAGGCCCAGGCAGCGCTGCCAGAAAGAGCTCTCCCCCTGCTCCATCGCCACCCCCCCCGATGCGAGGCCGGGAGCCCGGCCTCGCTTCCATCCGCTCGCCATGCCTTGGCGGAGACCTGCGCCCGCGCATCAGCGCGCGGATGGGAGGGATAGGCAGGGGGGAACGTGGAGCAGGAGGGGGAGCAGGAGGAGGAGGAGGGAGGATGGAGAGGAGGAGGAGGAGGAGGAGCAGGAGGAGAAGGAGGAGGAGGGAGGATGAGAAGGAGGAAGAGGTGGAGGAGCAGGAAGGGAGGAGGAAGAGGAGGATGGACCAGCGTGCGGCATGAGTCGTGCAATTGAAGACAGGAGCACGTGCCAAATAAGGTGCACCACTCGCCTCGCACCTACCTGTACCGACTAGGCCTGAGAGCGTAAACGGAACATGCGGAACGCGAAGCGTTGAGAATAAAACATTGCCCAGTATGCACCGCCAAGTGTATAGCGTTGTTGGGGTGCGTGCCGGCCCTAACGGCGGCAACGCTAGCACGCTGGTGGGCACGGATGGAGGGCTTCTCCGAAGGACCCTTGCATTCAACGAACAACAAAGAATGACCACCACGCCCCTGGGATACCGAGAAAGCACCGCAAAGCGTGCAAACCATGGCATCGTGGCTCAAGAGCTCCATGTGGATGAGATCTTCTGCCACGGACAGCACCGACACCATCACGACGGCCTCCTTTCTGTACAAGGGGGGCGCGTGCAGAGCAACACTTTACCTAGCCTGTAGAACTTGCCGTCGGTGGGCAGGCAACCGTTTTCTTTTCTAGAGCCGGCCACCACCGTCGCAAGACTGAGAGGGGTCCAAGGAAGAAGAAGAAGAAGAAGAAGGATCAGAAGAAGAGGGGGAGGAGTGGGAGGAGGTGAAGACGGAGGAGGAACAGGAGGATGGATGAGGAGGAGGGAGGAGGAAGAGAAGGAGAGAGGAGGAGTAAAGAGGGAGATAAGGAGGAAGGAAGGGGAGGATGGAGGAGGGTCGAGCCTTTACTCCGTAGATCAGGTTGGGAGCGGGCGCAACGCACCCGCGTCGGCCGCCCTGGCGGACGCGGGTCGTTGCCCTTTTGTGAGGGCGACTCGTCGACGAAATCGCTGAGCTCCTGATCCCACGGCCTGTTGGTAAACAAGTACTACCTCTCAACATACTCCTCGATCGCACTCCAGGCATCTGCCACTACAAATCGTACTCGTAGCCGTCCGCGCCGACGCACACATGCAAACGGTACGCGACGCGAAACTGCACGATGCACGTGAATCCGTCGTGGCCAGGGTGGGGACACTCCAGAGTTCGCGCCCAGATTGTGGGGACTTGTCTCTTTTGGCGGTCCAACGCTCCCCGCGATAGAACAGGCGTGGTATTTGGGCACCCCAAGGTGGAGCCGCAAGGGATGGGACGCATCTGGGTTCTCCGAGCCCAGCTCCAAGTCCACCCCCTTCATGCGTAGCACCACGATGCCAAGGACGACGAGGAAGGAGGGCATGCCAGAGCCACGACAGACTTCGCATCCGAGCAGCACGGGCATGGTGCGCTGCAGTCCTTCCTCGGTGGTTACTCGTCGTGACCGAAAATTTCGGTGGCGTGGTCGGCCATCCTCTGCTCATTTTCGGTGGCCATCACAGCGGCCACGTCGGTCATCGCATCCTTTTTGTTTGCCTTCTGGCGCTCGTGGGGTTTAGAGGCGGCCTCCTGGGGATCCTTCGTGTGAATATCCGTGGCCATGCCCTCGGGAGCGAAAGGGATGCCTGTGGCATCGCACGTGTCGCGCTCCTCTTCGCCCTCGTTGTCCACTTCACGGTAGAGCGGTTCAGTGCCACGCGCCTGGCACGAAGCTCAGCGCGCCCCTCTGCAGCTTGGTCACATCCCTCAGCAGCTCCTCGTCAAAGCGGCAGTGGCCGTCCAGCCCGCTTAGAGCGCCGGCGGGGCCCCTTCGGACTGGGGCGGGCCCCTCTTTCTCGTCTGCCTCGGTGCTCCAGGGAAGAACTAGTTGGTCTCTGCGTTCAGCGTCTGCTGCTCGCCCGCTCTCCTCAGGACTGCCAAGGACTGCTCTGCTTAGGACTGCTGATCGCCTGCTCTCTGTAGGACTGCGCTGCGAACCCGTTTCTGCATCGTCCTCGGCTGCGTCTGGGATGCCGCCGCGATCCCCCCTGCCTTCACACTGAAGACGTGCGCTGCCGTATTCCTTCTGCCGGTGATGCTATGGTGAGTGCATGTTTGTATTTCTTCCTGGAGGTTTCCATCCAGCACTGGCATGACAGGAGCGGTCACCATCGAGTCGATAAACCAGATCAGATCGCGACGGGCGTCGCTTCGGGCCTCATCGGCACGGAGTCTGCATCGAATCGAATCTGTCGCGCCAGAGTGCACAACAACGCCATGCAGGCCCCCGGCCGCATCGTCGGAATATCGGACTCGAACGGCAGAAATCGATGTCGGTTCGGATGGATCGTAGCGAAACGGGCCCTGGCGTGATGATGAGCTGCGCCCTCAACTCCTCAACTGCAGCTTGGCGGCGCCCACAGTGGGGTAGGGGGAAGGGGGAAGGCTTGTTAGAAGGAGGCTGCTTCTTAGAAGGCACCGGCCTTACATCTACAGACAAGGCCCGCGCCTTCTAAGAAGCAGGGATGCTTCTAAGAAGTATCACCTCCTCCCCCTACACCCCCCCTGCGAATGGCCGACAACTGCAGCTCCGAACCCTCCTCGCAGGCGGCACCCAGCTAGATTTTCGGCGTGCAGCCACCCAAGCTCCGCAGGCTGCCGCCCGGGACGCAGGATGGTTCGATCGATAGTTTCCTGACAATTGGGCGACAGCTCAACAGCTGCTCGCTGCGGCCTCGTCCTGTAATCGGGGTCTTTGGGGCCCTCTTCTTCACCCCCCATTTAGGTCACTCCCCATCACCACCAGCCCGACCCCCCCTCGCGCCGATTCGCTGTCGTCAGCCACAGTACCCGCTGCCGCCATCCGCGCCAGCCAGCGCCTCGGGGCTCGGTCTGAGCCGCTCAGAGGATGAGGAGGCGGAGGTAGGAGGGAAGTGTGGGGCAGTGGGAGGGGGGAAGAGGGAGGGGCAGGGGGGGGGGTCTAAGGTTCTACCTTGGCCTCGCGCGCGCCCGCAGAAAGGGCACGGGGTCCAGGTCAGATCAGGTCACGTAGAGCCTTGCCCAAGACGGCGCGTAAGCAAAGGAGAGGTGGAACACGGACGAATGCCTTCACATCCTCTCGAGCTTCCGACAACCAGCTCCCGCTCGCGCGCTGCCCCGCGCTCTGGGCGGAAGCAATCAGCGAGACGCGCGTGCGAGCCGGCAACCTTCATGGAATTGCGCGCATCGAGGCGTCGCCACGTCTGTCGAGGTCGGCCCCTCCTCCCTGGACCGCTCCGCCCGCGCAGCTGTGTGGTGCCTGGTTGAAGCACCGAACACCGCTCTGGGTTCTCCGCTGATCGCCTGGCCAGCTGCGACATGAAAAATATGTTCTGGCGAGTCCGTGGGGCAACTTTTCTTTTGCAGCGACATCGAGCGCAGCAGTGTTGGACACTCGACTGACGCGAGCCGGTGCTGCATGGCCACTCCTCCGCAGGCCGCGGTGAAGCTATCGAACCTCCGCCGTTCTGCTTTGTTCAAACACGCGGCCAACAGTGAGCATGTCAACTTCGAGGCAACACGAGCAACAAATATGTCAGTGTGCTGCTTCCGGCTGAGTTTGGACTGCGACAAAACCAACAAATGTCTTACAGCCGGTCGCGGCTGTCCTTGAGAGGCGGCCGAGTTCAGTCCCGACCTGGCCGTCGACAGATAGAGACGCACCAAGATCTATGAACGATCGTTGATTTCCGAAGAGCACCCCCTCGTTGTTCAGAATGGCGGCGTCAGATTCGACGCCCATGCGCCCCATTTGTCCGATCGAGCTGCATCCATAGTGTTGTCCGTATGGCTCGACGCTTTGCAACAACTGGTGAATCAAAGCTGGACCGTTGTCGATGATGACCGGCATCAACGTGAACGAGCTACTTGGCGAATCGCTCAGCAGGAATATATTGAGCTTTTCGCGCAACGTAGTGCAGGCTTCAGTCAGCAGCGCGGACATTTCGATGGCCAATAAAATAATTATAACAGGCATCTGGGGCAAATGCCATAATGCTGCCGATGCTCCAGAGATGTCTGCCAAACTCTGTCACCACGAATGAACGATTCTCGCATGTGGCTCCAGCCATGCGCGAAAGCTTTGTCCGTGCAGCCGAACCTGAATAGAGATGCCGCCGGTGCGTCCGGGGAGACAGAATCGAACGCCTTCGCCCAGTCGAGCGCGAGGAAAATGGATTGCCTTCCTCTGGTAGACCACACGCCCTCTGGGATGCGCTGGGCGACAAAGGTTTGGGCGACAAAGGTTGCGTCGACGGCCCCACGCTGTGATTGAAACCCGAACTGTTTTTGTCCTGTGAACTCCTCGGCATTCGCAATTTTGAGACTTCGTAGTAAAAGGATGGCACGAGGTCCAGGCAGGGCGCAAGGCAAGCGACCACGTTCCGGACGCGCGGGGTGCCAACGACCCGACAGTTGGCGACGCGCACCTGGGGGGGAGTGAGGGGCCCTGCTTGGCTTAAAAAACCTGCCCAGGCCCAGTCCCCCAGGCGCATCGCCGACACTGGTGAGGAGGTTTGCTTCCTCGCTGGGAGATCGCGTGAACTCTTTTGCAATTCGCCCATCAACGGACTGGCCCTGGGCTCCAGACGCGGCGCGCCGGGTTGGGCGTCGCCCGCCCGTTGGCAGAAGTCCCAACGGCGCTGCTCGCGCTGCGGAGACGGTTCGGGGAGAGGATATCAAAAGAGGAGGAAGGAAGAAAAGAAGGTGCAAGGAGGACGCCGAAAGGTTTCAAGGAATGTGAAGGATCGAGCCACTCCTCCCTTCCAGCACTTTCCCTGCTCCCCCGCCTGTTTCTCACTGCCTCAAACTCGGGGCCTGGAGCCCAGGGGTCTGAGCACGCAACCCCAAAACCTCCTCTTGCTTCGACTCCCCGACCTTTGTGGGCACTGAGCAGGCGCTGGTAACGAAAGCGTGTGGGGCGGCGGCCAGCTCGTCCTGCCCCCCCA